TTGAAGGATTTTGATTTTGTTTATTTACCAAGGTATTTTTTATCGTATATTTACTTTTTTTTCTCAGATGATTTTGAATAAATGTAGTACTTAAAAAAAAATGTTTCGAAGTTTGTCGATCGATTTCGGAAATGGGGGGTCGACTTATACGTGGGTTTCTTATTTTCTACGAATTTTTTATGTCGAAGTGGGGGGTCGACTTATATGTGGTATCGACTTATACGCAGGTATATACGGTAAGTCTCTTACTTGCTATATAATAAGCTTAATTTTGAAGTTAATTTTTGATAACATAGTTTGATTTTTTTGGTAAATTAATTATTGGTAAAAAAGGTTTAAAACAAAATAAAACTATTTTTATCATATTTTATCATACATATAAACATTGAGGTACAGTCAAAAGTCGTTAATTCGGACACCCATAATTCGGAATGATCTATAATCCAGACCTCAAAGCTAAAAACTTTCTGCGCATGCGCCGCGTTGGCACATGCGCACAGGCGTTTTACGCATGCACGTAAGACCCTTTGCGTAAGACCTTGACTACTGCGCATATGCGTGTGCGCAAGTGCAGAATACGTTTTCGCCTGCGCATTTAATGTATAACGGACGGTGTAAGCTAAAATTATCTAATTATCTATTTCAGTTAATGTTAATAATTGCGTTGTTCCTTAATCTTCGAATTGGATCCCGCTTATTATTTTTTGCAGACTGTAAGAGCAATTTTATAAAAGTAAACTTGAACTTTCGATTATGTCAAATAGAATTTCCGATGCTGGAACTTCCAAAGGATCTACAAAACGAAAGTACAGTGTCTCAAAAAAGTGATGGGACACTTTGTGCTTTACAAAACGAAACTGCAATAAAATAAAATTTAAAAAACATGTAAAATTTTTTGTGGGTGTGTTTCATACTTAAATTTAGTAACAATTATTACATAACATACATTTCTCAAAATATTAAAATATTAATTTAATAAAAATACAATTGTTTAGACGGAGCAAAAATGGCTCACTTAAGTAATGGGACACTACGTACTATGCAACAAAATCGTCTGAAGTAAGTAAGCAATAAAATATCTTTTGGGGTATTTATTTTTACTCAAAAAGCAATTGCCAATAATTTATAAATCGTCTGCAGTATTTCTCTCCAGTTTGTTTTGGAATTTTGTGTATTTTAGTTCTGTGCAGCATGAAATGATAAACGAAAAGAACTTTGCCTGGAATTCGAAAATTAGTTATTAATTTGCATATTGAACATGGAAAATCTATTAGAGAAGCTACTGAAACAGTTAACTTCAGTCATTCAACAGTTTTCAATATCATTAAACGATATAAAAAGAATCATATGATTCATGATAAAAGAAGACCTATCCGACCATCAAAGCTATCCAATGGAATAAAGCGAATTATCGTTCGAAATATTTAAAACAAATCCAAGAATGAGTGCTCCTAAAGTTGCTGCTGATTTACAAGCATTATATGGAGTAATTGTTAATTCTGAGACTATTAGAAGAGTAATTCGATCTACTGGATATCACGGTAGAGCAGCCAGGAAAAAATTCTTCGTAAGTGAAAAGAATAGAAAACTCAGACTGGCTTTCGCAAAATCCAACAAAAATAAGAATTCTGATTACTGGAATGAAGTTATATTTGCTGATGAGAGTAAATTTAATATATTTGGTTCTGACGGTAGAATCTTGGTGTGGAGAAAATTCAGGGAAGAATTTCGCAAACAGAACTTGGTGCCAACAGTAAAACATGGTGGAGGAGGAGTTATGGTATGGGGGTGTATGTCGTCCGCTGGAGTTGGTAATCTCGATTTTATTGACAGTATAATGGATCAGTACAAGTATATTGACATTTTAAATCAAAATTTGAAACCTTCAGCACGAAACTTGAACCTTCATAATGATTTTAAATTCTACCAGGACAATGACCCCAAGCACAGTGCTTTGAACGTTAGACTCTGGCTGCTGTATAACTGTCCTGAAATAATAAAAACACCACTACAATCTCCACAATTAAATCCCATAGAGAATATTTGGCAAGAATTGGAATCAAGAATTCGCAAAACCACACCATTTCTTCAAAACAACAATTAAAATCGGTGCTTCAAGAAGAATGGAGGTAAAATCACTCCAGAAATCACAAAAAATGAGTCAAATCCATCCCAAGAAGATTAAATTCACATTTTAAAAGTAAAAGGAAATACCAAAAAATATTAAAACCTTTTAAAAGTAAAATTTTTTGGATAAATATTTGATGGAAAAGTAAATGCCCCATCACTTACGTGAGTATCCAATCACTTAAGTGAGCCATTTTTTGCTCCGTTCTAAACAATTGTATTTTCTATTAAATTAACATTTTAATATTTTGAGAAAATGTATATTATGTAACAATTGTTACTAAATTTAAGTATGAAACACACCCACAAAAAATTTTGCATGTTTTTTTAATTTATTTTAATACAGTTTCCTTTTGTAAAGCACAAATGTCCCATCACTTTTTTGAGACACTGTATGTTTCGATGTCCAACAAACAAAAAGTGGAATTGCTGCAAAAAATGGATAAAGACATGAAGAATGTGACAGAGAGGTTAGTGAAAACAAAAAAAAAAATTGATTGAGAAGTTAGTCAGTATTCTCGCACAGCAATTACCGGGACTTGAACAGCGGAACTTTGTAACTGAACAAGAAATTATGTCTTTTTATAGAATTAAAGAGAAAGTATTATCACATACAACGAAGCAACTTAAACAACTTACATTGAGAGAAATGTTTAATAAAGTAAACAAATAAATATTAAGTTTTTTTTTTTTTTTTTTTTTTGTAAATTTTGATACCTTTTAGATCATAATTGTTCTTTATTTCATAAATTACGGTTTCATATTTTAAATTTTAGAATTTCTGCATGCCATCTTACGAGATTTAAACTGATGATCTATAATCCGGAATCGCCGAAGTCCCGACGAGTCCGGATTAACGACTTTTGACCGTATATGATATCCTCCCCCACACACACGGCCGCTCTAGTAACTTTTCTTGATGTGCCTTCCTTCTGCGGGGTTAAAAAAAAAGAAAAAAAAAAATGTTTAGACATCACTTTGTGAATTATTTCTCAAGCTGCAGTTTGCTGATAGCCATACAGTGATGTTGGAAAAATTTGCCTGGTTGGCATCAGTGCCAAAATTAAATTAAGAATCGGGACTCCTCACATATCTTATTGTGAAAAAATATAAAATTTGCTATAGTAAAGTATTAAAAAAAAAGGTTTCTGTTGGACATCCAGATTTTGGGCTTGGTCCTGTATTATGTTCGCAGACAAGTTAAAATTTACTGTATTTGGGTCTGATATACAAACTGCTATATTGGCAAGGGCCAATGAAAAATTTAATCAGAAAAACTTACTGTTAAGCACAAGAGTGGAAGGACTGGGGATGCTTCATTGCCTCTGGGATGAGAAATTTATTTTTTGTGTAAAATAAGGTGGTTTAGTATAAATATATAAATATTTGTAATAAAAAAATGATGGCATCTTCAAGAAAACTTGGAATGCAAAAACTATGCAAGATCTATCAGGATACTAATCCTACACATGCAGCCCGAAATGTTCATTTATGGTCATTATACAATAGTCCTAATATTACCCAAATTCCTCTGACTTAAATGCTTTTGAACATGAATATAATAAGTTGGAGAAAAGAATAAAGAAACATGACATTTCTTCTAAAGTTCTACTAAAAACAATTATTAAAAGCAATGGAACCATTCTTACATACAAAAATTAATTATTAAATACAAAAATTAATTCAAAAGTGTAATTTCAGCTACAGGATATACAATGAAATACTGAATGCCCCACTATCTTCCTGTCTTTATTAAATATAAACTGTTTATTCAATGAGTCCAAATACTTATATGAGTTTAATTTCAGTATATTTTGAAAAAATTACTTTTGTACCAAAAATATTTTGACTACCTTTTTCAAAACAAGCAAGTTTTAAAAACGATTATCAGTAGTGTGTGAACAAAAAAAAATATTCATTTTGCTAACATTTAATAACTGATATTTTCAAATAAAGTTGAGAAACACAAGTGACTGAAAACAAATATGAGCCAATGAAAATCTTGATTGAGCCAACATCACTGTATGGCTGATTTTCATTAAAAATGTGACATGTAAGAAATACGTCACACCTGTTAGTAGTTATGGTTTATTTTTAACTTAAAGTTCCCTATAATTTTACAGAAATTAGCAATTTTTCTTGGCGTAAAGTTATTAGCTAAAAAAGAAAATCTAAACACCGGATCTAACCATGATTTTCATATGTATAATACAAAGCTTATAAAATGAAAGGGGAAAGTGCAGAATCGCAAGCATGGCTTTTTTTTATAATCTGTTTTCACGAGTAATATCTTTAATTATTCATATATTAAAAAAAACTCTAGGAAATATTATAGGAAAGAAATATACATGAATCAATATGAAATGATCTAGCACTAAAAAACAATCTTATTACTTACGAATGATTTATGATTAGTAAATAAGATAGGATTCATCTGTTGACATCCTTTCAATAAGGATAAACGAGAAAATCTTGATACAAACATACTTTTTATTACCAAAAAAAATGTCATTAAAAATGTGACATGTAAGAAATACGTCACACCTGTTAGTTAGTAGTTATGGTTATTTTAACTTAAAGTTCCCTATAATTTTACAGAAAATTAGCAATTTTTCTTGGCGTAAGTTATTAGCTAAAAAAGAAAATCTAAACACACGGATCCAACCATGATTTTCATATGTATAATACAAAGCTTATAAAAGGAAAGGGGAAAGTGCAGAATCGCAAGCATGGCTTTTTTTTATAATCTGTTTTCACGAGTAATATCTTTAATTATTCATATATTAAACAAACTCTAGCAAATATTATAGGAAAGAAATATACATGAATCAATATGAAATGATCTAGCACTAAAAAACAATCTTATTACTTACGAATGATTTATGATTAGTAAATAAGATAGGATTCATCTGTTGACATCCTTTCAATAAGGATAAACGAGAAAATCTTGATACAAGCATACTTTTTATTACCAAAATACGAAAAAATCCTACAGACGACTTTCCTAAATATCGCAGTCACAGTTACCACGTTGTAACTGTTGTGTCTCTTCAGTAATAATTTTAATTTATAAATTAAATTCTTGTGTATGGTATCTCTTATGATTAAAAGAACATTATTATATAATTTAGTATAATAATATGCATCCCGACATCAAGCTGTAATGATAAGGAAAGTCTAGCAGTATTTATCGTGAGCGATTTGGTATCAGCAAAACTGCGACCATATTTTATTTTTACTGTCACGAGATGCCAACAGGCTGTTGCTGTGTCGTTGAGTGTGTTGAGTAGGAATGTTTAATAGGGTAAAAAATGCGTTATACAATGTAGTTGGAGGATTAGAGACTTTTCCAGCAATAAAAGATGGAGAACTTACAGATAGGCCACCATTAAAGTTCCGCTATACTAGACCAACTTTTTTGCAATTGACTACAGATGATGAAGTTCAAGTGTCAGCAGACCATGTAATTCGGCCTATTATCGTTCCAAGAGACATAACAAAATTGCCTTGGAACTCTGGTTATGCTGAGTAAGATTAAAATTTGATCATTGTTATGCCGTAATATGGGAATTTTAATCATAGTATTAAGTCGTTAAAGAGTAGCTTGCTTACATTAACAGCCCATATAGTTGTAAACAGAAGCTGTGTTTCAGCTTCTCTTTACAACTATATGGGGTGTTAAAGTAATTGATTTAAAATCACATAAATACCTTATTTCTTCTGGATATATGAAGAGTAATATGGTGCTGTACTTTTAAATGTATAAACCTGGAGAGGCAAAAAACTTGTTAAACGTGTAACTAAAAGAAAAATTTTATGTATCATCAGAACATCTTTAAGGCGAAGATTAGCCTTGGAAATTTTCTATATTTATTATTTATGTGCTCCAGAATAAGGTATTTCTAGAGTTTTATGACTCCCTTTTTTTTACACCTGATGGCTTTTGGGAACTCTTGCAGTTTGACCATTTTCCATATATCTACATTTTATCTCATTTGTCTTGCTAGCTTCATCATTTTTAGTGAAATTACTAAATGCATTTTGCTACCGTCATTTCACATCATAATTATTGATGATTTCCATGAATAGCTAAGTGTACATTTGAAAAATATTCACAAAGCATTAATTTATTTATGAGCGTGATGAACTGGTGCACAGCTTCTCACAAATATTTCGGTTAAAATTTAATATTTTTAACGTACACTTTGAGCTTTGCATATAAATATTTTTTAAATGCCTGCAAGTATCAAGAATAACAAAAGTGCAGAAAAACAATTTTAATTTATAGTGAAAATTGTATTGCAATCATATTAGATACAATTACTTGATATTCAGTTTAATTTTGATGATTGATTAGGCTTTTTTGCTTTTCAAAATTGATTCCAAATAGTTAAATGTAACTTCATCATACATAAGTTTAATAAGATAAAAAGGTATGCAAATAATATTTGTCACTGAAAGCTCATTTTTAATTTTATTATTAATTGAAATTTATTGTTGGTACTCTTCTATTATTAGGACCAGAATCAGAAAAGTATGTGTGTATACACACTTACCATATGTACATACGTATATACATGCATACATGAACACGTACACCCAGTATGCATGCATACATACATTCGTTTCTGAATCCGATCCAATAACAGAAGAGTAGCTTTATGTTTCGTTTTTCTTACTTGACTCTATATTTTTCAGATATTTTCAGAATAAATATAAAATCCATTTTTCCGTATTATCCATAATCATCAAATTTTTTATTTTTCTTGTGCTTACAAATTCTACTGTGTCCACTGATGTACTTTATTTTGTAGACATACTTAGTTTTCACTGATGACCAATATCTGAGAATATACTGCACAAGTCTGAAATCTGGCTCACCAGCAATTTTTTAAAAAGAATTTTTTGGAGAAAGAATTAGATTTCGAGAGTCCCATCTCACTTAAGCAAATATGATATTTTTTGTTAGACTCGCTAGCTGAAGATTATATATGTGTGTTACACTGAAACTGTCTTCTTAATGGAAAAGTACCCCATGTGCCTAATGTTTTGTGCATGTACAGCAGACCTTTTTATTATTATTATAAAGTGTGTGGAGGGTCCAAATTCTTAATTTAGTTTCAGTACCAAGTGAAAAACTTCCATGTTCAAAAAACATAATCATTAGCATAAACCTCTGTGATCAATAATTCAACTCCATGGCCACTTGTTTGTTCAGCATACATCGTGAACCGAAACATTCTACCAAAGTCCATTCCTGATTTTACTCCTATAGAGTAATTTTTTAACCCTGATGCCCGTCTAATGAATAATTTTTTATTACTTTTGCTTTTATTACTGTATGACTATCAAAACATGTCAGATTGAGAAATGACTTGCACATTATATGTGGAAATCGTACATTAAGCTTTGTAACAATTACAGACTTCATTGAACTGCACTGCAAAGTGTTAAATATGTTGAAGAAAAGAAATTTTAACAAATTTCTTTCTATATGAAACATAAATATTTTGTAAATTTTATTTATCTATTTAATTAAGAATAACTGATTTGTTGTTTCTGTAACTGTTAAATATTTATGGGAATTTGTTTGAGACTTGAGCCTTAAGCTTGTGTGGGAAATAAATACAGTCAAAAGTCTTTAATCCGGACTCGTCGGGACTTCGGTGATTCCGGATTATAGATCATCAGTTTAAATCTGGTAAGATGGCATACAGAAATTATAAAATTAAAAATATGAAACCATAATTTATGAAATAAAGAGCAATTATGATCTAAAGGGTATCAAAATTTACAAAAAAAAAGCTTAATATTTATTTGTTTACTTTATTAAACATTTCTTTTAATGCGCGCATGCGTAAAGCATACATCACGCATAGTCGAAATTAGAAAATTGCAACCAGAAAATTATTTGATGTGTATTCGTGATATTTATAATGACAAGGAATTTGATTTAAATCATATCAAAGACGGAGTACATTGAGATGAAATACTACGTTTAGTAAGGAATGAAAGCTAAATAAAATAAAAACATCTGCCCTGAAGATAAGGATAGTGCTGATAGTGTTGTAGCTTTGAGGTCCGGATTAACGACTTTTGACTGTATAAGTATAATAAGAAACTAAAATAATACGGCTGGTTATAATTAAAGTGACCCTATTCAGACCCTTGTAGAACCTGATCTGTGTGTTGGATTTTGATGAAACTTAGTATATATGTTATATGGAGTATGAGAAAAAGATTTTCTGCAATTAAAAAAAGGGTTCAAATTTTGACCGCCAGATGGCAATTTTCAAAAATTCCTTATGTAAATTAGTCAAACCTATAAAGAGACTTGCAGTCAGAGCTAGAAAATCATTCTGCGTGCCTTTGTCACCGCTTATCGTACAGAAAAAAGATTGAGGTTTACTGATAAAACTGTTTTATCAGAATGGCAGCAATAGCTAAACTGCATTGAGTGAATATTGTGGTTTAAAGGAATTGCGAAAAGAGCCCATGTCGAAGGATGGTTTGAAAAAGATGATTATAAAATTTGAAGAGACTAGAGGCTTGGGTGTGCTGCTATGAAGAGAGCAGAAACCGCAAATGAAACTGTCGAAGAAATCGCTACGCCTGTGGTTGAAAGAAACTTCAGTTCTCGCCAGAGGCGTAGCTAGGATTTCAGCGCCTGGGGACAACTGAAGATTTTGCGCCCCTTTTTGTGTGCCATGAATTTAAAACACTTCATTCTAAAATTTCGTACCATCGATTTGGCGTTCCTTGGATGCTGCGCCGGGGACAGATGTCCCCCATTGCCCCACCCTAGCTACGCCACTAATTCCCGCTATTCTTCAGCAAGTGCTCAATTGGTATCATGACAGGGTTTGTATCGGTCCTTACAAGTGCTTTTAAGTCCTTATATTTGAAAATAAAATATAAAGGCCCTTATAGGTGCTTACTTTTTCTTTAAAGCCCTTATTTTTTTGCTTTTAGTGCTTTTTTTTTTAATGAATGCGCATTTTTCCCCGTACCAAAGCCGAAACTAAATAAACAACTTTTCTTCCTTATATGCAACGTCAGATGGTGAATCATACTCCCGGAAATTGCTTTCGCCCCTTTCTCTGCATTAACGTAACCTATGGTGCACGCGAGAGTACAGACAGGTGCACGTCGTTCTATTTATCAAAGAAATGTGAAAACGGTAGAAAATTCCGGTACATTCGGTATTCTTTTCCTCCCACCCAAATACTGCACATGTTTGAATTTCTATCAAGATTTTAATAATTTGCATTCTCGTTCCCCGTGGTCAGTTCATATTCATGTTTGTTATATGTATGAATATTTATAATAATATAGTTGCAGTAACTGCTGAAGTATAGATAAACTTAAAAAATGGGTGTGTTTTTACACAGATTGGCTTTCTAAGGAATAATATTCGGAATGGCTTAAATAAAAGGAAAGTAATCGAATAGTCAAAATAATTTCTTTTGGGGGGGCAATAGATTATACAGTGCAGAGGCTGGGAGGTTCTCCCCTTTCTCCGCAAAATCTCTAATATTGAAGCAGTGGACTTTTTTTTATCACTGTCGAATCTGGATTAAATAGGACTAAAAGCTTTGCGTTCTACCCAACCCAAGGGAAGATTGATTCTATTCGGGAAATTTAACGCAGTCTGTTGAAAATTATAATCAAAAAACACCCCAGATTAGTAAGTCTCTTTCTTTTATTTAGTTCTTTATTCTCGAAATACCGGCAGCTGTTGATTCAGATTGCGTAATGGGCACGTATTGCGCAATAACGTTTACGGTATTTTGCAGAGATAATTAATTTTGATGTTCAGTCTGAGATTTGTTTATGAACACTTAAAAGAGTTTTTACTGTGCTTTCTAAGCAGAATATTTCTCAGTTCCGTTGATCTATTTTTATATGATGCACATATCGAAATGTAAAATCATTTATTTAGGCGAGAAATCTAAAGAACGGCTACAATCTGCCCCACTTCTCTTTTTCCAGTTACTATCCTGAATATTCCGCAATTTCCGAGTATGCGGGTTAGTTAAGATTTTACTGTTAAAGGATGACTGCATGAAGCAATTTCCCGTCTTCTGATTTCAGAAATGTGCCTCTTTTTTACTTAAATTACTTGGCTTAGAATATATGTTAAGGGAAAACTGTTATGCAATGAAAATTTAGAAAAGGTTCAAAATTTTGATTTAAGTTAAATTATTTAAATATTAATATGAGTGGAAAAATAAATGGTATTTATTATTAGGTGCCAAACGGCTTATTATTATATATTAACATGGCTTATTTTTATTTATTTTCTATATTTTGAACTGAAATTTCATCATTAAATCTTGTAATATAGTTTAGTTCTGCGTAGTCTTTTTTTTTTCTCTCATTGTAAACTAATTCTGTAAATTGAACTGTCATTTAAAATTTAAAAAAAAAAAAGTTAATTGTTTTCCATGGTTGAGGTAATGTTCATTCTCTTAATAAATACTGCATTGCTCATATTTTAAATTACAAGTCTAATTTTTCTTTTAAGGTTATGCAGTTGTGTATAATGTAATTAGACAGGTGCTTACTTTTTCCTTAAAATGTGCTTAAAAAGTGCTTATAGGTGCTTATTTTTTTAACTAAAATGTGGCTATGAACCCTGTGTGAGTTGGCGATTCCTTCGTCAGCAGTATGAAGAATTCTGCGATCCATTTTAAAATGGTATCCGTATAAGATCCACTTGGGGCAAATGCTACAACCTCAATACCCCAAACACACTCTGCATTTGCTTGCCGATTTTTTTTTTTTTTTTTTTTTTTTTTTTTTTTTTTTTTTTGCGAGAATGAATGTTGATGTCGAGTAGCCTTTAAAAATTCTATGGTCATATAAGATGCACTTTTCTTTAAATGCAGCTGTGAATAATCAAAATTGCCACATATGGTGTGCTTCACCTCCTAAAGTCCTGCACTAACAACCACTGCATTCTGATTATGTAACTGCATGATGTGGATTTACTGCTGATTTTATCCTCCGAACGTTTTTCTTTGAAACTCTTACTTCTCAAAGTCTTAAAACGGGCTATGTCTTGAGTGCATGGTACAGTAAACTCCTTTGGCAGCAAGTCATTCCAGCGGCCGAGCGGTAAAGTCGCTGAACACTGGTAATTCGGTCCAAGGTTCGAATCCCGCGAACAGGCTGGCTGCATGGGCGTTTTCGTGGTTTTCCCCATGTGTAACGTGTATATGAGCCAGTTTCCCTTAGAAAGTCCTCCACGAAAGGCATCCCTGCCCTTAGGCAGATAGCCCTCGTGTGCTTTGCCATAATTAAATACACCAACACCAACCAGCAAGTCATTCCTGCTTTACAGGAACGGCAATGTGTCTTCATGCAAGATGGAACAACTAGCCACATTGGGAACCAAGTCAAAGAACTGCTTCATGCTAACTTTGGTGAGAATCATATAATATCCAGATGCCTCCAGGTTCACCCAACTTAAAACCCTGTGATTTCTAGTTGTGTGTATTCTTAAAAGATAATGTTTATGGAGGAGGAATTGGGATTTCTTTGGAAATTCTAAAGATATGCTCAATTTAAAATTATTTTGTGACATTGCTGTTTATATGAATTTTATGGTTTAAGTGCAAAGAACATGATATGTAATAAATAAAAGTAACACACAAAATGTAAAAAAAAAAAAAAAAAAAAAAAAAAAAAAAAAAAAGCCCCTTTGGAAGTAATTTAAAATCCAAAACCTTTCAGTGGTTCCCCCCCCCCCTAAAATTTGATTAAGTTCATTGGTTAAAATTTACTCTATGTTACCACTTGGCAAATTGTTTCTTTTTTGATGCCAAGATTGCCACTAGGAAGGATTGGTACCAATTTTTCAAGATTGCTACACAAAACCAAAATAAGAAGTCGAAGACTTACACAAACTTGGTGTCCATGTACACATCGCCCTATTTTTTAAGTTTAAAAAACATCAGAGAATTGCACAAACTAGGCATTGCACATTGCCTTAACTTTGTCCATGTACACATTGATTATTTTCACTTAAACAAAATCAGGAAGCTAAAACAAAGTTAAAACTATCATGGTGTAACCAGAAAAAATTCATCACTGTTTTAACAAACAGAATAAATAAATAAAATGTCAATTTTTAACAAGATGCCTGTATTGTGCATATAACTTTTAAAATATTTTATGATTTTTATCTCTGTTGCTTATTAAGAGCATTTGCACTGGGCAAAATTTTGCAGTTGCAGAGATGATTGATCCCCAGCAGCAAATACCTTGTGCTACCACTATGCTTATTTATTAACGAATGTATATTCAATTAATAGTTTGCATCATTTATACCTGGTGTTTTCCTTTGGATTACTTGCTTAATAAGTTTTTATTTTTATTTTTTTAATTTTTATTATTATTATTATTATTATTATTATTATTTTTTTTTTTTTTTTTTTTAAGGGCTATAAATGCTGGTAAAAGTGTGAGAAATGAAGATCAGGGAACTGCTGTTAGAGGTGTATTATATACTTCTGCTGCAATATCAGTTAAGCATGACACTGAAGATCAGTCCATTCCAGTTCAACCATTAGTAAATGATGAAGAAATCAGAAATGAAAATGATATGGAAACTGCAATGCCTGAGGAGCTTACTTCTTCACAGACCCTTAGCCCTCCTTTAGATGATTCTAATTATACAACACCACCATCCACACCAGAAATGTCTCGCAAAATTGTGGTATGTGTGCAAATAGTACTTATATTTACTTTCCTGTGAATAGAGTAGTTTATTTTAAAAACCTCTTTTTTTTTTCCATCTTGGGTTTATTGTTGAACATAAAAATTGCTACACCAGGAAAGAAAGCGAATAACAAAATATCATTTCATGTGTTTATACAATAGAATGGAAGGAAGACATTCTTGAATTTGCAGTTGGTTTGGGGTACATAGCATGCAGAATTCAAGACAAAGAGTTGTCACCTCTGGCAAGAAACAACAGCTGTCATCCAGTTGTGCATCAATTTGAATTGAGCTTGGATGACAAATACTTTGTTCCTTGTGGTGTCAATTCTCTGCCAGAATTTATTAAGTATAGTGGCTGATGAATGGTGGTGTGCCATTCTTGTGACAACCCATGTCCAGATACTCTCAGTGGATGAAAGATCGGGAGAATGTGCTGGCCAAGGCCACGGTTATTTTGAGGAAAGTCAGGACAGCATGGGCAGTATGCAGTCATGCATTATCCTGTTCAAAAGTAATTGTTGTGTTGCACAGGCCTCAAAGGTAGGATACAGCCACGGGCCTACCAATATGTGAACACGAGATAGGCATCCCATACCAGCATGCCAAGTGCTGGGCCCATATGGCAATGATTGCAAGTTGGCAGTGTGTGTTCTTGGTGCCTCCACACACAGATATGTCCATTATGATCTTATATGTAAAACTAGAATTCATCTGAAAAGATGTGGTACCACTCCTGTGTCCAGTATTGATATTCATTGCACCACTGTAGACATGTCTGTCTGCTGCAATATCAAGGAAAGTTTGAAGAATGGTCACTGTGCTGACAGTTTCCAGCGTCGCAAATGTTGTTGCACTATTCATGTGAATACTTTTCATCTTGCTATTGAGTCACATTCTGACTCGGGGTTTGTGCAGTGGCTATATAGTCCCACAAGGGTGTGAGGACGAGAGGTGTTAGTGCCCCAGAGCTGCTGAGATTCAGTATGGCCTTCCTGGACCCATCAATTCCATATTCACCTGGTAGTCATGGGAACCTGAGCAGCTGTGTTGAGGAATGATAAACTGCAGTCCCATTAGGACATGATCAAATTCCAATAAAGGCTTGTATTAGTTACTTCCCTTTATGTGAGGTGTAACTCCCATTTATACTCAGTATAAGATGGTATTACTCATGGCTGCTTTGTGTGCATGTGTTGGAATGCTAATAATTTGCATATTCCAGCATGTAGTATATTTACGCAAATTAGGCATTTGTTGCATACCTCCTTCGTGGTATAGCAATTTTAATGGCCAACAGCATATTATAGTAAATTTTTGTAATTTTGCAATACATATAGCATGACATCTTTCTTTACCTTGTGTTAAGACATATTTCAGAAATTCTTTTGCATTTCTACGAGTTATCAAATCAGCTAGATAGGAATTTTAAAAAGTAATAATAATAAAGTACTAATCTTAATTTGGTATAAATTGATTAAGAAGGTCATATGCAGGGAAGATGATGATGCTTGTATTCTTAACCACAGCTAGGAACTTTGATTAGTACCAGAAAACGTTTGGTTACAATTTGAGTATTGGAGACTTTCATTGTGATCTGAATATCAAGGAATATTATTTTCCTTGTTTCGATCATACAAACCTTTTGTTCCTATTTATGACAATTTTATTCCATATTGCTTTTGCTAGCAAAATATGATCAAGTCTTTGCACCAGTACTAAGGTATTATCTGTTATAAGTTTGATTCAATTCATATCCTTTCTTATCTAGTTAATTTAGACAAAGCCCATAACAGCTACGTGCCTTAACCCTCTGAGCATTATGAGTGGGTTTATCTGGTCATCGGAAGTTTTGCTTCTTAGTATATATTAGCTTATAATTTAAGATATTTTGCTTTCTTACTTTCTTTAATAATGTAAATATCATCTTAATGAATGCAAGTTTATGAAAATACAGACTGAAATGAGTAATTATACAAACTAAATTAATAAATGCTGTTTAAATACTGGTTTTCATGACAGATCTAAAATCCTGTGTCACTCAGAGGGTTAAAGAAGAGGTACCGTTGTGGAGGACTTTCTAAGAGAAACTCTCATACCAATGCTACTGTATGCTACTTTTATTATATTTTATTCATGGGGAAGAAAACTATGAAAACACGTTATCCAGGATTCAAATTCCGGTCAAACAGTCAGTGTTTGGTATTCTTGACTATTTTCTGTTTCTATATCATTTTCTCTGCATTCCATTGTTGAACTTCCATAGCACATTTGATTTGAGATATAATTAAGTTGGAACATTCTTAACATTTCTCCAATGTTCCATGATTTTGAGAAAAGTAGATACCTGTCATTTCATAGTTTTGCAAATTACAGAGACCCTTTATGAAAACAAAACTAAAAAAAGACAATGTGTTGAAGGAAGTATAGTTGCTACAAACTGTTATTGACAAGTTATTTGGTTAATCTGTATTTTAGGGTACCCCTTGGATTATCGCCATGTTATTGTTTCATTTATGGTAACCTGAGTAGTTGAATGTTATGGAAACCCTGTTGTAATGCAATTGATTGTAATGTGTGATTGCGGTAATTTTCGGCTGATGGAAAAATATTTGTATTATAAGGGCTTACTTAGGTATGGATGTTGGTTAGGAAGTATGGTGCTTATTTTGTGCTTTACGCTGTAAAATGTGTGCTGATGGTACAATTAACCTGAAGTTTCTGTACACTTTGGAACGCTTGGGAAAGGAAACATTTATTGACTGGTGTATAAATGAAGATTTAAATGTCTTCATTCACCTCTCGGTAATATTACGCAGTGAGATTTAAGGATTTCGAAACCGGGGCTCATATCAACACTATGGAAAGTATTTGGGGGGGGGCAATAAAAAGGAATTTTTGTAAGAAATCCTACGAGCAGTATAGAGGATATTTTTCATTTTTACTTTTGTAAATTAATGTGGCAATGGCAGTATACAGAGTCTAGTTTAGATAATTTCAAATAGTTTTTGGATACTGTTAAGGAATTCTGTGTGTCACACATATCTAAGAAACAAATTTTTAAATAAGGTAAGTCGATTTCCTTTTTATACTGCATAGATTAGATAACATGTATTTCCATTCCTTTGTTATTTTCTTGTTTGATTTAAAATGCACTTTATTGAAATTATATATTTTTTGTTTTAATTATGTTGTGAATGCCATTTCACTGGCGAGGACGTTGAATGTAAACAAGCAATGGTGCCAAAATATCGTCAGTTTTCACCAAGGGGTACCCTGAAATGTATTTTTACTGGTTATTTTGATAGATTGCAAAACCTAATAATATGAGTTTTTTCATTCAAAATCCATTTGGGTTAATGCTGAAGTTTTGCATATGTTGCTTTTAGTTGCACTAATTTTCATTTGAATATTCTTTCATGTAAGGTTTACTATCTTTGAACTGGCAATAATGATCTTTCTTTTTTAATCTGTACCTTGTTTGAACTTGTGCATTTGATATTTGGTCATATTTGTGAAGTAGTTGTTTCAGTATATAGAGTATATGAAGAAAAAAGATTTTTTAAGATTTCAACATCTTTGATATTTTGAGAAAAATTGGCATCTTAGCTACCAGTACACCAATTGCCAGTTGTCTTCAAACCTTTATGGAGTGTAAGTTGAGTTTAATGTGAACTCCTTTCAAGGTGCCTTGTCATCTCCACAGCGAATTATTTGTTAGAGCAGCATTACACAGTGAGGTTCTGCATCAAACTGCTTGAGGGTAATACTGGGAGTGAGACCCACGACATGATCAAGATTGCTTATGGGAGTGATGCTCAGTCAAGTGTTTTTGTTTTTCAGTGGCATGAATTATTTCGGAAGGAAGAGAACAAGCTGAAGATGAATTGATGTTGATCTTCACCCCTCCCCCCCCCCCCCTTTTTTTTTTTTTTTACTGCAAATGAGTGGTTCACAGAGAGTTTGTACCCCCTAGTCAGACTGAATGCTGCATTCTATATGGAAGTACTTGAAAGACTCAGAAAAATGAGTTGCCTGCATCCGTCCAGCAATCGCTGGATCACGGAGGCTCTGTAACGACAATGTGTTGAACCACACCACTTTTGCTTTCATGGATTTCCTGATCAAACATGACATTGCACAGCTTCTCCAGCCACCCTACAGCCCAGAATGTTGCTCCTTCAGACTTCTTCCTCTTGCCTTTTCCTCTTCCTGTCATGAAAGGAGGCACCATGGCTTAATCCAGGCCATTCAAGAGGCCGTAACGAGGGAGCTGAAGAGCATACCAGTTTCTGCAGTCCAGGGAGACTTCAGTGATTGACAGAGAGTTGCTGAAAACACTGTTGATGCAGAAGGGGCATATTTTGAAAACTACCAAGCCAGTGTGTCAAAACGTGAATAAATGTTTTTTAAAAAAATTCAGTCCTACGAGTTTCTGGACAAACCCTGTACATAGAACCTTGACTTCAGACATGCTTTTATTTTTCCTATGAGAACATCTTGAATCTTGATTTCTTTTTGAGGCTTGGACTCCATCTCATTGCCTTTTGTTTCTCTTACATCTTTTTCATTACTTCATTTTAAATATGTTTACTATAGTATGTATTTTTCTTTGATGTTAACTTTGCAGTTCTATCTTTTTACATTGCACTGTATGTATAATAATTTTTATGGATATATTTGTTCAGATACTTATATAATCAGAAATAAATAATTGTATTGTCCAGTTGAAGTGAAACCTCTATTTTTATTAGCTAGATCACACAATACCATGGGTATATTTTGCATTATTTGATGGCCATGCGGGCTCTGGTGTGGCAGTTGCTGCATCTAATACATTGCATAAAATTATACAGGTAAATTCATTTTAGCTGATTTTTAACCACCTGAAAGCCCCCCCCCCAAAAAAAATTTACTGTTGAAAGAATTGACTGAAATTAACTCTAATTGTTTTTCTCTTTAATGTAATGCTTCAAGTAACTATTTAACAAAGTGTTGTAAATACTTTGTAATTTTTATTTTGTAAAATTTAAAGCTTCCTTCAGTATTTTTTTAATATATGAAATTTACATGTAGTAATTGGTATATTCTTTCTTTTCTTTTTTTAAATAGTGCTATAGTAATTTCACTTTTGTACTTTTGTATTATCTGTCCAGCATCCCATAAAGTCATCAATAGATGGCAACTACTTTTTTGTCAACCTAACACATGATAAACATTAGCCATTTTAAAAACATACTGGTGCACTGAAAATTGCATAAAACAACAACAAACTGACAAAATTAAAAATGCAGGAAACACCCATAATGAAACAGTAAACAGTAACAAATTAACTAAACTAAAAATGTAACAAATATCCACAATTAAGACACTGAATTTTCTTTGTCTGTGTTCATAGCAATCTTTTTTAGCTTCATAAAAGGCCAAGGGAATCGTAGACTGGCAGAACTCTAGTCATAGTTGAGCAAACTGGCACTGATCTTCATGTGTACATTGGCCTGTTTCAACTTAAAAAGAAGTTGGAGAATTACAGAATTCTTGGCATCGCACAGCAACTTGACACTGCTCTCCATGTACACAACAACTTGTTTTAAATTAGAAAAACATCAAAGAATTGTGTTTATTTGGAAAGACATTCTTCTTTTTTCATACTAGATAGACATACTTCTGACAGATAATTACATCAATCAGTAGTTGTATTCAGAGATATATAGAAGACAATAAAAACTAAGAATGACAAAACTTACCCAATGTATAGTCATTAGAGCAGCAATAAATAAAGTGAATGGCTGTCATAAACAATATTCCACTGTTTTCAAACTAATTTCCTACTCACATTTGAACACTTTTCTTCATACAATTTGATTATTTGCTTCACGGGAATTCCAAATGATACCTGTTATGTGCTGGCACGATGCGCGCACTACCATTAATTGATGCCTGATAGTGCTATACCCAGTGATTCTTCTCACCACTGGATGATAACACAAAAGTGTCTTTCCTTTTTTTAATATCTTTAATATTCCTGTGTGTGAAAGAGAATTAATGAATATTAATTTGGTATTATGATAAAAAATACATAATTATGAAATCAATTTTTAAAAAGCAGAATGCTGACTTAATAATTTGCATGACTTAATAGTCTGCAAGGTGGCAGAGAGTGTCATAATATTCCTAATAATACACAAATCCATTCTTGTTGTGATGTCACTTTTAATTCTGCCATTATGTGTTCTAGGTGTTTTGCCATATAAGTATTTCAGTGTGTAACTTATATATTGTGTGGGCTTTGATATATTTGGAATTCAGAAGCTATAGGAAAAGCTTAAGGTAATTATCAAAGTCTTCAATCTGCACATGTACAATTTAAACACAGTTAAAGAATTAAGAGTGTACAGAGCACTATAACCTTTGAAGCAGCTCTTCTTACTTTGAAGATAATGAATCTAATGCTTTAAGCTTTTTCAGGAATATTCACGTGTGACACAATTGTTACAGAATCTTTGCTAATAATAAGAGCTTACCAAAAACCATTTATCTAAATGTTCTCTAAATAAAAATTTACCTGATTACCTAATTTATTTAATAAAATTTAGGACCAGAAGATTGCTTGCAGAAGTCTTCCTCTATTTTCAACTCGTCCTCACAGTAAAACCATAGAACATAATTTATCAGACTACATTATCTTTTGAAATCGACTTTCATTTTACTATTATCTTCCCTAATTATGACTAGGCTTTCTTATGCTTGGAAATGAGTCATGTTACTTTTAACATTTATTTGATGAAACCATCTTGAACATGTTCACTTCTTCCACCTGAAGGTAAAGGTACTATTAAATTTACATCATTGTTAAAATCAGTTAGAACATCTAATGACAGTTTGTCGTTTTAAGCAAGTAAACCAATCTTTAGCTCTGCAAACTTCATCCGGCAATAATGATTCCTAACTTAAATGAGAGCTTTCTTTTCTTTATTTACCTACTACCTTAGAAACAATCTTAATAGCAGGTTAATTTGTGATTTAGTAGTCTTAGTAAAGTTTTCAGTTTCATAGGATTTACAAAAAAAGCCTAAAAAAAATTACTCATACTACATGGTACTATTTTGCTACTATTTGTCATACCTTTTCTCAAATGTATTTAGTACCTTGTATTCAGAAAGTCTGTTTACAAGTATACTACTAATCCTAATTCAGTAAATAACATTTGATGTAATATTACAGTAATGCCCTCTCCAAAAAAAAAAAAGATGTATGTGTTATTTATTTGATCATTTTAGTTTTTTGTTTTATAGTATTTTCAGAAGTGTAATACCTAGAAATATAAAACTTTGTAAAAAAAATTTCATAATTATGTGTAAATTTCTGTGAAATATATCACTATTGTTTTAGGAAAAATTACAAGAGGTTGCAGATTTACTTACTATGCCTCAAGCTCAATTAAATGTTGCAGCTAAAGGCGCAAATGAACGAAATAGTGCACAACCTCCTGGATTTCAAGGTGTCTCTTCCAGCAGAGATGTGACACCAGATTCACTTATTGTGGGTGCTCTGGAATCAGCATTTTGGGAAATGGTAAGTGACAAAGTTTATTGTTTGTATTTGTTTAAGCAGATACAAACATTAGTAATGTAGTTATAGTACATGTTAAATGTTTGGAAGAAGTACATTTTTTATATATGTTATGGGTTATATATGTATATTTAATTTTAAATACTGTTTCGTAGGATAGGTTAATTTCAATTGATAAGAGGCATTATACAATGACAGGAGGATGTACTGCACTGGTTGCAGTTTTCATGTTTGGTAAATTGTATGTTGCCAATGCAGGGGATAGTAGGTGAGTTCTTTTTTGATAAGGTATTTTCTTGATGAATTGCAAAAGTGTTATGTTAATTGCTGTTAAAAGACATCAGCTCAATTCTGACTTGGTTAAAATATTTTTTATGTAATAACAGAATGAAATTTTTCTGGCATGTTCTGTATAGATTCAGACAGTTTTGTTCCTTTTGTTGACGAGGCTGCCTTGAAGAAAATGAATGTTGGTTAAGTTCAGTACCATTATTTAATTAGATTCTCATAAATGATAGGTTTCAGAGGAACTGAACTAAACTGGAGGGTTCCTATCTGAAACAGTTGTGCTGAGCAACTTCCTGAAACATTTTTTGACATTAATGAAAATATTATGCTGCCTACATTCTGTCTCGCTTACGTCTTCACTGAAGAAATGATTTTCATATAAGTCAACCAGTTAGATGTCCTAGAAGCCAAGATTTCCAGAAATGTGTTTTTTGATGTGCTGTTGAGAGTAGCTAGTAGTTCTCATGATTTAAGTTTCACTGGTTTTGAAAACAGTATTTAAGCCATTATTATGCGTTCAATTTGAATAATGAATAATAATCTTGCTTGGATATTCTTATTTATTGCAGCATTTCAAATGTATAAAAAAATTCTATTCTGTACCATTTTTAAAGATGTTTTTAAACAATTTTAATGCATGATAAGTATGTTTACCTGGACAATGTAATAGATGTGTAATATTTAATTTTACTAAAGAATTGGTATTACTTATGTACACTGGTGTGCAATATAAATTTTAATCAGATAGCCATTAAATTTTAGAAAAGGTTTTCTTGCATTCAAGTACAATGAACACGCAATTCATTACAAAGGTCATGTGTATGCAAATGTCAAGAAAAAAAGTCACAGGCTATGTGCCTCCTACTGTTCAGAAGCTACTGAAAAGTAAAGATATTACTCAAATGGATTGGACAACGTGCAGCCCTGATTTAAATCCCGTAGAACATGTGTTGGATGCTTTGGGGTGATGCCTTGTGGCATGATTACATCCTCCAAAGAACACCCAGCAACTGAAACAGATGCTGATTGAGGAATGGGCACTCTTACCTCAAGATCTGTTCGACAATCTGGTGCTGAGTATGGAGAGACTGTTCGAAGCAACCATTGCAGTAAGGGGAGGGCATATTCCATAGTAAGGAACATCTGCTTGTTGTCTTCCTCTTGTACAGACAATCATGTATAACGATGCTATGAGTTCAATAAAGCCTATTTTTGTTTGATTTCGTACTGTATGCATTGTATTCATTTTTAGCGCACTTATGCTTTCGTCATCGTTTAAATACAAAATGCTGTCTCTTAATTCTGAATTTCATGTCTCTCAGATGATTTCTCGTGGAGTTATGCAAAAAAGAACACCTGTTGCTTAAGTTTTGCACACCAGTGTATTATCCTTTCAACCACAAAACTGCTGCCAAGCAGCACGATTCAGTGCCAGTCATGGATAACTGTGATGTCACAACACATTCATAGCATTTGTGCATGCTTTTGATGTAATATCACTTGGTTCTCGATAAGCCACCTGTTGTTTTTATGAACAAAAATATTGTAAAAATTGAGTTTGAGGCATGTAGAATCACATTTGTGACTGCACTATGGTTCATTTACAGCTGGTTGAGAGAATTAATATTGGATATGGCCATAAAAACAGCGATAGATTGAAACAATCACCTACACAGAGCTTCTGGTAAAACTGGAGGGCCTAAAAAAATAGTAGAAATAAAATGAAAGCTTTTTTACAAAGTGAATCAAATACTTTCAGAACAGTTAATATTTGGTAGATTGTACTGAGAGACTGACCAGTCTTTTATTGTAAGTGTTGTAGATAGAACTGGAATTCCACAAGAACGATTGGCATGGCATCTCCACCAATTTTTATGTAATTATGGATGATCAGTGGGATAATACATATTACCAAATGAGTTTACGGTTTTGTATAAGCCCTCTTTCCATTAGTGTGGTGCATATGCAGTATGCAAGTTAGGGAGTGAATTTATTGAACTACAATTTAGGGAATGGAAGCAGAACAGGTAAAATTGAACTCTGTTTAATTTTTATCTGTATATCTGCAAGAACTTTGAAGTAAAAGTAAAGCAGTTAGACATGATCAGACAGAATAATGGAAATTGAAGCAGTGATGGACTCCATAGAAAGAATACATCATTTCTTAAAAACACCAATATCTAAAATATTGATATTATAGCAGTTGATAGAATTTTTTAATTAATTTTTTTTTTTTTTTTCTTTTTAAAGTTAACTGTGTCCTGATTATCGACACAGAGTAATGATCAGTGTTGAGAAATTCAGGTGTAAATAAGTATGAGTTCATATCCATTAATGAACAAATCTTTGCACGAGAAGTATTTTTTTTTATCCTAGTCATTCCCCCTACTAAAAAACTATTTTACTAAATCATTACTAATGCTATAAATGCTTAATCATCATAATACTAATGCCTTGAATCATTCTGATTTAAAATGAGTAAAATAATTTAAGTGGCATTTCAAGAATCACTTGTGAACCCTGGAGAATTGTCTTGCAGTGACAGAACCAGTGTGCTTGGCTGTTATTGTTGATATAATTAATCTATATAGTAGGAACTTTTAAGTGTTCTCTAAATATAAGCAAAAGTAGTTATTAAACTTTCTAGTTAATTATATTCTTAAATAAGTTATGGATTCAATTATGAATTTTTGTGATATTAGGTGTAAACTTTAGAAGTTCTAGTTCATGTCATTGTTTAGCTGTGTATATCATTTGAATATTTATGTATATGAGAAGAAATATTTATATTTTTAAGGGCTGTCATATGTAGAGGCAGTAAAACCATTCCTATGTCATCAGACTTCACACCTGAGACTGAGCGAAATAGAATAAGAAAACTTGTAAGTTGTTTTTGTGTATTATGACTGTTTATGTAAAAATGTCTAGGTTTATAATTAAATTGAGCATGCAGATATGTGTAGTACTTTTTACTTAGATTAAAAATTAAATTGTTTATTCAGTATGTATAGGCTTTTCCCTTTAACTTTTCAATTCAAGTTCTCTTGACTGAGAAATATATATGTATATTATATAGAGGAACTTCTATCTATCTGTAGGAAGATCTCAAATGTTACAAGTCTCAAACATTGCACTGTATTTTAAATCGCACATCTATACTAAAGTTAGCTTTAATTTTTCCTTAAATATTTGAAATAAGCATATTAAGGTTTTTTTAGAGCTGAAAATTCTAAATGTGCTTTGAGAAAAACCTCTCTTCATCAAGAAGCAAAATGCTATTTAGATTATAAATTGAATGAAAATTTTTATTTAATAGTTTTAAGATGATACAGATCGGTACGTCTTACAATATAGCATGGAATAAAATATGTAGAGAGGCTGAAAAAATACCTTTTCTGAATTTTCTGTTGCTATACCCCAGAAAAGTTGCATATCACCTAACTAAGCAAAATTTTAAAAAAAATCAAATAAAATTATCCCTTTTATTTACATATCCCACTCAAAGTTTTGAAATTGGTGAAATTTCCATGTTTTCTTTCTTCTCTAATTACTAAATAAACACCCACGCAGCTGGCCCGTTCGCAGGATTCGAACCTCGGCAGGTCCTGGGTGAGCGGTTTGAAATTCGGTGTAACGGTTCCGTTGATATTTGCTGGCGTTCATGTGTCAAATTCGGGAACTTTGACCCTATGAAAGTCGCGTCCTATTGGGCCTGGAGAGAAACTTTTTTTTTTAATTGATGTACTCTTCGAGAGCAACATTTTGGCTATCTCGGATTTTTAAAATTCGCGAAAGGGTTTTCTTCATCGAATTTGCATACTTTATTTTAAAAATTTGCCATCGCTGCTATCAAAATTCAATTTTTTCTAATGTGAATTTTGAGGCATGAGAAACACATCTAAACAGCATCAGTTATAATGTATATGAAATAGATCGGTACATCTTACAATAGCATGGAATAAAATATGTAGAGAGGCTGAAAAAATACCTTTTCTGAATTTTCTGTTGCTATACCCCAGAAAAGTTGCATATCACCTAACTAAGCAAAATGGGGAAGGGGGAAAAAAAAAATTCAAATAAAATTATCCCTTTTATTTCACCTAACTAAGCAAAATTTTTAAAAAAATCAAATAAAATTATCCCTTTTATTTACATATCCCACTCAAAGTTTTGAAATTGGTGAAATTTCCATGTTTTCTTTCTTCTCTAATTACTAAACTCACTGCTATCAAAATTAAATTGTTTCTAATGTGAATTTTGAGGCATGAGAAACACATCTAAACAGCTCGAAACCTGTAGTTTCAAATTATTTATTGCTTGTACAAAGAGCTGAAAAATCACAAATTTTTGTAAAAATAACGATATTTTTTTTTTTTTTTTTTCCCCTGCAGATGTTTTTAAAGAGTGACTATATTATCCATTGTTATTATTACTATATTGTGTAATTGTAAATATTGTTACATACGTTTTCATGGATTTGGAGTGAATAATGACGATGGCACTTGATGAAGTATTAAAGCACAATTTGTTAGCTAGTATATCTCAGGACAGCTCCCAGAACATGTTTACAGTCATCGAAACGCAAACACGCTGAAACAGTCAGCAGCAGAGCTTTCAGGCTATAACAGTGAAGACAGTTTCACGGCAAAGCACCAGAGTACACCTCCCAGCTCGGGATACTTCACCGGCTACTTCCTTCATTTCTTTATCCTTCGATTCTTGAAATGACACTTCTGTCATTTCTGCATCTTTTTTTATAGCTCCAGTTTCTTCAGTAAGCTCGACTTTCATCTGTTGGAGTTGCTTTCACAGTTTTTCTTGGCAGACTATAATCTCTTCTCATCAGGCTTTCATCTCTTCCGCTCCTGCTTTTATCTCAGCCGTCATCTCTTCATATCCAGCTTTTATCTCAGCCTTCATCTCTTATACTCCGGCTTTTATTTCTTCTTTTACTGAGTTGACGGCGCCTTCCATCTTTTCTTGGAATGCAGCAAAGGCAGTCATGAGCTGTCTTAATTGTTCTTCCATTGTCCTTGTCACTGGCCATTCACTCTCAAATTCCACTTCTGACACCAGTTGTTGTGTTTTTCTGTACGTAATGGTTTGTAGATTTGGAGTGATTGACGACAATACTTGAAGAATGAAAACACACTTTATTAGCCAAATATGGCAGTTCAGGACAGCTCCTAAAGCATGTTTGTAGTAGTCAAAAAACTACGACAAGCACACTGAAACGAACAGTGACACGGCTTTCAGGTTATAACAGTGAAGACAGCTTCACAGCAAAGCACCAGAGTACAACTTCAACTCGGTTCAATTGTTCTAGGAACTTTACGCACTCTCAAGACTCTCCATGCTACAACTCGCTATGCATTCAATGGTACACTAGAGTACAGCTGCCAACTCGATTCGGTCGTTCTCAGAGCTCAATATACTCTAAGATAAAACTCGATTGTGCACTAAGAGACTCTTTAAATGCACTCGATGGACTAGGCACTGACTGACTCACTCACTCACTGCATACCAGCAGGGTTTATATAGCTTTTGGCTTTTGTTCCAGAAGGTTCTCCATCCATCTATGGCATAAATCCAATTTGGCGACCCTGTCTTCCCTTGCCGTTTTCTGGCAACCCTAAGCCTGCCTTGCAGGGCTACCTTACTGTGGCTAGACATTTCGTAACAATGTATGTGATAAGTGATTCGGATAATTTTCACATTGTTGACAAAAAATAAGAGGAAGCAAAACTCATAGCAAAAATGATTTGCAAAATCAGTCTATTAAAGAAACGCTATATGGTCTATACTTTGATGAAGGAAAAAAGACAACAACATTGTGGTAATTAAAAAAATAATAATAAGTGTTTTCAAAGAACTGGAAAAGAAAACTATTATTCCCTCCTACAAGAACCAGGATCAGAATAATATATTAGCCATGTTTCTCCATGTACACTGCGCATAAAAAAAAGAGGACAGTTCTGTATCTCCCGTTCTACTGGGCCGATTGACGAAATTCAACATGCATTTTTCATGTTTTGAAAGTGCGACTTAGAATATATATTAGATTTATATATAGCATTGTTCTAATATAGGTATTTTGACACAATCAGACTTTTCTGAAATAACATGCCATTTTTTTTCCATATTTCAATTCTACGACTTGAATTAAACCAAAGTACCAATTTTTGTAAAAATCCCACGAGTAGTTTTTAAAAAATTAGCTCTCAAAATTTTAGCTCCTCAATATTAATTGAGTTTGGTATAGATTTATTAATCTCTCTTTTTTATTAAACTTATCTGATTTTTCTTTCACATTTTGAAATTCAGATTCATTCCGAATAAAATTCGCCCATTTTTATGATTTATTTTTAAAATTTGTATTTTTAATAATTTTTTAGAATTTTTCGAAAAAATTTTTGAATTATGATATATAAAATTTTTACCATCTTCTTAAAGTAGCTGTTTTTCTAAGCACACCTGCAAAAAATTACAGTTTTTTTCAAAATTTCTGAAGATATATGCGAATTTATATATTGGCACGATTTGAAATTTGGCATATTTGTTGAAAGCGATAAAATATCAAATGTGGTTTAGACACTTTGCTAAAGAGGTGCCATTTTTTCCGCTCCGGCGTAATGGAAGGGGAAGAAAAATTGATTGCCATATTTTAAAATGCTCTGCATGAATTATTCTTGGTGTAAACTGGAAAAATTGCGGCAATATAAATTTTTGAATTTTTCCGTAAATTTCGCATAAAATTTTACAAAATTTAATATGTAGGCATAATTTGAGTCGTAGAATCTAAATATGGAAAAAATTGGTATGTTATTTCAGAAAATGTCTGATTCTGTCTCAAAATACCTACGAGGGCCATCCAGGAAGTAGATTACGTTTCCGTCTGTGTCCGCTAGGGGCGGGGCTAGCGCGGCCATCTTGGGGTCAGAGCGTTGCGCAGCTCAGTCTGCATCTAGCCGTGCTAGTGAGAGGTTCGTGCTGTGCTCCGTTCAGATACTGTGACGGTTTGAAATGTCTGCGTTAATTGAAAATCCCGCGAGCTGCGAGGTGCGCTCAGTAATAAGGTTTCTGACTGCAAAAAACTGTAAACCGATAGAAATCTATCGGCAGCTTCGTGAAGTGTATGGGGACAACATTATCTCTGAAGGTGGAGTGCGTCAGTGGGTCATAAGATTTCAAATGGCCGAACCAATGTTCACGACGAAGATCGAAGTGGGAGACCCCAGCATAGTGACCGCCGAACTTCTCGAAAAAGTCGATGCTAAAGTCCGTGAAAATCGAAATTTCACAATAACGGAACTTTCTTTGAGTTTTCCACAAATTTCGCGAAGTTTGTTGCACGAAATCATCAGCGAAAAGCTTGGTTACCACAAGTTTTGTGCAAGATGGATTCCAAAAATCTTGACAGAGGACTACAAAAATCAGCGAATGGCTGCAGCGTTGAACTTTTTGGACGCTTACCATAAGGATGGTGACTCTTTACTCGATCGCATCGTTACTGGTGACGAAACATGGGTGAAACATGTGAACTGTGAAACGAAATTGCAATCAATGCAGTGGGGGCACACAAGTTCTCCCCAAAAAACCCAAGAAATGCATGCAAACAATGTCGGCAAGGAAGATGATGGCGACTGTTTTTTTGGGACAGAAAAGGTGTAATTTGGTGGTGGACTTCCTGGAAAGAGGCCACTACAATAAACTCTCAAAGGTATTGCCAAACTCTCCAAAAACTCAGAAGAGCAATTCAAAACAAGCGCAGAAGAACAGAATGTTTGAGCTCTAAGATCTTGTTGATTCACGACAACGCCCGGCCCCACACGCCAAATGTCACTCGTAAAGTTCTTGAATCTTTTAAGTGGGAGTTGTTCCC